ATGTTCAATGTTTCTGCAATCTCTCGTGTCATGTAACATGAGGGTTTGACTTGATCAATTGCTTTATTTTGTCATCATCAACCTCGGTGGGCCTCTTTGACCGAGGAGCGTCTTTGAGATCAAAATCACCAGCACGGAATTTCGTGAACCATCGTTGGCACTGACATTCTTGTAGAGCATTGTCACCATAAACTTTATGCAACTTTTCACAAGTTTGACGTGCGTTCTTCCCTTTCTGGAAGTAAAACAGTAAAATATGGCAAAAATGCAGTTTTGGCTTCCATCTTCAACTTGTTGTAAAATCTCCAAAACTCAATTAAATAGCTCAGTTTTTTTAGAATGAAGCTAGAACTGTCAGTTGTCAAATGACATAGCAATAACATAGATGCAAATGACTCTAGTACTTCCAAAAATGAACTAGTGCCATCTGTTGCAAACATTCGTCATGACTTTTCCGACTGTCCAATATATTTGTAGTTTCTTAGACAGCATATAGTTATGTTTTTACATTCTGCCAGTCTCTTTTACTTGTTGAATTTAGATCATTTACATTTAATGTAATATATTGATATGTTAGGGATTAAGTCTACCATTACATTTTTTGTTGTTTGATTGCCCTGGGGTTTTTTTTGTTTGTTTCTTTGGGTCTTTTCCTGCTGCCTAGTATGTTATTTGAACAATTTTTAGAATTTCATTTTGTTTTATAGTCATGCACCACTGAACTATAGGACTGTTTTAAGAAATGTGTTGTTAGCAATTTTGTCATTGTGTGAAGACCATAGTTTACCTACACAAATCTAGATGTTATAGCCTACTACACACCTAGAGGTATAGCCTATTGCTACTAAGCTACAAGTCAAAGTAACATGAACAGTATGATACTGTGCTGAATACTGTAGGCAACTGTAACACAATGGTTAAGCACAAGAGAAAAATGATGCAATCAAGAGGTGTGGTAAACACAAGATGTATGAGGCTACTGCCCGTGTGACATGGCATACTGTTTTATAGCAAACTTTTTTTTTATAAATACAAAGAGTACATATAAAAAAGTGATAAAAAGTATAGTATGGCAAATATATAAATTTGTAACATAGTCATTTATTATCAAGTATTATGTACCATACATAATATATGTGCTATACTTTTATATGACTGGCAACACAGGTTTGTTTACACCAGCATCACCACAAACATGTGAGTAATGCATTTTGCTACGATGTGGGATGGTTATGATGTCACTAGGTGATAGGAATTTTCCAGCTCCATTATTATATTATGGACCACCATCATACATCTGGTTCATCATTGAAACATCATTATGTGGCACATGACTGTATTTGTAGTGTTTTCGAGTACATATTTTTGTATAGCTTTTTTTTTCAGTGATTGTTCTAAGTATTACATTATATATATGAGGTCTGACAATTACGTTTGCCAGCTTGTTGCAACGATGTTGCTAACCTTTTTTGATATCAGAGGGATTATTCATTATGAATTTGTACCAACTGGATACTTAACCAAGTTTACTATTTGCAAATGCTGAAAAGCCTGTGTGAAAAAGACAAAAACGACCTGAACTTTTCACCAACAATTCATGGCTCTTGAATCA